AACTTTGTATTGCGCGCCGGGGGTTGATTTTGCGAACTTTGCATTGCGCGCCGGGGGTCCAGATTGCGAACTTTGCATCGCGCGCTGACGGTCGATTTTGCGAACTTCGCTTCGCCGGCGCGCTATTGCGGACGGGGGCAACTCTGCGTCGAGAAGCACAGAATACTCTCGACTTTCCGTGAAGACCGCCAAAGCCGTCCGTCCGCGTCCGCGCCCGTCCGCACCGTCCGTGCCATGCGAACGCGCTGTACGATAGCGCGCGGCATGCAGCTCAACCCATGACTGCTGCACGAAGTCTTTTGAGTGACGTATTTGACAGACACGTGACTCGCGGGACGTGACGGATATCGTTTTGATTAGAAAGGAGCAAAGTGAATTTGCGTGGGATATTTTGAATTGCGTACGCTTTTAGGAAATGGTACGCTGCGCGCCTGCAGGCCGTACGTTTCCGGGCAATGGTACGCCTCTGCAGCGCGCACTGCCCGCTCGAAAACCAGACTTTCACATTTTAGGCCCGTGCGCGGCGCGCCGCGAGAATTGACGAGTTGGCATGATCCTTGAGGTGACAAAGCTAGCCCATCTTCCCACCCCGCAGCTTGTCTACCGTAGTATTCAGGAAGCTTGCTCCAAACACAGCATGCTCTCTAGATTGAACTGACTAACGCTCTCACATTCGCTTCAGAGGCACACAAAAAGTCCTGAGCTGGAGTGATGGCGCGGGTCGGCAAGGCTCTGCGCGCTAGCCGCGTCACGCGGCCTCGCGCCCTCGCGCCCCCGCGAAAGCGCAGCATCCACACGCTATCGGTCAGTCCACCAAGTGACACATCGTCGATGCTGGGGAAGCTCGATACCCGACAGCCTCACCAGGTCCTGCTTCTTGCACAGGTCATAACAGCTCGTACATCGCCTTTGCAAAGCACAGTGCAATGACATCGCGCCGAAGCGGCGAGGGGCACGTAGACCTTCACCAGCTCAGGTGCCCCGGCAGACGTCGCCACATCCAGCAAAGACATAGTTTTTGAGCTTCGTAGCTTGCGAATGGCAGTGAAGCGCCGGTCGAGGTGGACAGGGGACGGGCAAGCGGCTGTATGCGCTGAGCGCGTACGAATGGTGTGCTCAAAGCTCAAGAGAACAGGTCAGGAAGGAAGTCAAGGCGGATCGGTTAAGATGTGAGAGTGAGTCATCCTTCCGTGGCTGGCGCGTTCGTACTGGGAGACACGTGGCTAGCTCTCAGTCATCGTCTCGGAGCTTTGAGAGCACAGCTGACACCAAGCCATGGTCAGCAGGTGGCACCGCGCGCCTGTTGCAGAAGCAAAGGACTGCCAGGGCTCATCCGAAGATGGTCCCGGCATGAGTTGTCACGAGCGTTCAAATCACATAAGCCTACGCAGCGTGCAGGACCCATCCATGCATCCTATCTTCCGCAAGGCTCTCACCGAGGTATTGTACGGGGCATGGCACATGGCGTCTGAGCCTGTCCGCCTTTCAGACCATTCCAGCCCCGAGTAACAGCTACAGTCTGGGGCGTTGCAGCTCACCTCAACTGTCTTGTCCTGCTCGGCACTCGAGACAGATGTCGCGAAGGTCAACATGGGAAGAGCGAGGGCCAATGCCCCCATGACCCACAGCGCCAAACTGGATTGGGCGTGCATCTTCCTCCAAGGAATCCGCCTCCGCTCTCATCTCCATCCGCATTCTTAATCTCGCACAGCGTCTCGACGCGCACAAGTCCGGACTACTTGCGTTTTCGGCAAGCACCCGCTTCCGCCCGCTGCGCTGTACAGGCACGAGCAAGGTGACCTGCTCTGTTCCAGCTGACCAAAGTAGGCTATGGCGAGCTGCCCAGCGCAGTCCGGAACACCTAGCAGAAACGGGAGAGTCGCTTCGCCGTTTTTTTTTCTTGCCAGCGGAGCAACTGTTCTTTCTCGGACTGTCGGGTATCGTTGAACTCGTGGAAGCACAAGGGCTCGCCGGGTTGGATTGCTAAGTGGCGGGTCTAATGGTCGATAGAGAGATGCTGATCTCGTGAGTTCGGCAGCTATTTGACTAGGGCACAACAGACCAGAGCGCACCGCCCAAGCTACTTACACTTTTCATCCAACACTTCTTAGCTGCGATGCTCGCACCCATGCTTTCCCACCACCGCTGCGTGTGTAGACTGCCTGCGCGCACGCCTCGGTTAGGAATGGCTACTCGAGGTCAGTCGGTCGACAAGGCAGATCCTAGAGACGCAACGCTCGCAGGTGCGGAAACACAGCGAAATCAGCCAGGACCTCCCCTACTCTTCGGAGCCCTCTTGACGCCTTGCTCTCGCCGAATTGCTACAGATAAAAGATTGGCATACCTCTTCGCTCGCGCATGACCGAGCGCAGCAGCAGGGTTTTGAGCGGACAACAAGCTCATGAGTAGGGATCACATTGGGTGAGAAGACTGTAGACAACTTATGTAGTCCAATGGCGGGTATGCAAAGAGTAGCGCGGAACAGATGCGGAAGCGAAGCTACTGCGCACAATGAGGGGTGGCCGAAGAATCTTGGAAGTGTTCAGGTAAGTGATTCGCGACTCACTCTGTACCTGGCTGAGTGCTGTCCAAGAGCTGACCCCGTCCGGTAAAAGTTCAGCAGGCACTTTCAAGCAGCTATGGAGCTTCCAGTCGTTCCGTGCCTGCTGAGAATCCGATGTTCACATTTCGCCAACTGCACTGCCGGCCTCCCGGGCAACGCCGCTCGCTTGCAGGGCTGACTGGCCAACCGCACATTGTCGCCGCATCGCCAATGCCATCTCAAGCCACGCCGGCGGACTTCTTCAGAGATGTAAGTCGAATACCCATGCGTGTTTCAATCAAAGGATCGTGCAACGCTGACCAGGGCAGACGATAGTATATACCCCAGCTATCATCACCCTCGCCTATGACCTTCTCACATCGGCGCCATCGCAGATCCTTTCGGCTGTCAGGTCTACAAGTACTCATTCGCTCGGATGCGGACCTTGCCGAACGCCTTTTCCCACCCTCCTCGAGCGACGCTCGATGTTGAAGTACAACAAGCACACTGGATTCGAATGGACAGCTCATCACTGACGAGAGCACGAAGAGGCAGCAGGCAGCTTCGACTGCAGCGATAGCTTTTGCGTCGCCAACAACCCTAGCCCTCCGAATAGATGCTATAATGCTCGAAAACCAAAGGGCTCACGTTTGGGAGCTGCAATTCCTCGCGCAGATCCGACGCTTTCGAAATGAGAATGAATCATAAGATGTGCGAGACGAGAGGGTTGGTGATGGAGGCCTCATCCGACTGCATGTACGGCGCAAGCGAGGCCAGAGTCACCTCTGCATCCAGCAAGCGACTTACCAAGGTGGACGAGGACCGACACAGCGGCATAGGCCATGTGTGCAGCCTGTCGGAACAGCAGTACGGCGATGGGAGAGGCCATCAGACAAGCGAGCGTGGCTCGCGCTTAATGGGCATGCGCTTCACGATCCAAGCATTGATGGTCCCGCAAAAGCTGGATGATGAATGCGACTTTCTGAGGCTTGATGCAAGACGATGATATGAGCGGACGCAGAATCTCGAGACAGTGAGAGAGCAGGTCAAGTCAAACTCAGATTTGCGCCGGTCGATTTTGCTCAGTCGCACGGCGCTCGACAGAACACAGATGACGACGTCGATTACGGTCGCTTGATGGGACGGAGCTTGTACGGACGAGGGTGATTGGATAGTGTCCTGGCGAGAGAGACTTCGATGAGGACAAGGGTCAAGTTGCGACCTTCTTCTTGCTCAAGAGCAGCATATCGCTGAGGATGGAACGATTGGGAGACACTGTACCCAGACGAAGAGTAGCGTTTGAGACGAGAGCTGTGCGGCGTAGCATGGGGTCCCGCCCTGAGTTGACGAGCTCGACGCTACTCACGACAGGCAGATCCGCCTTGATTCTACACCTTGATGATGATGAATGTAGGTGATGTCGTGCCGAGAGGGGCTTTGAGAGTGCGCGACATAGAGGAGCAGTCGAGTGCGATGAATTGTGGTGAGGCTTCGACAGACAGGAAAGGTAGGCTGGACCTCAGTCTTCTCGCATTCAGCTGGACCCTCCACCGCAGACCACATCAGCCCTTGCGCCTACTTACCTGCAGATAATGACCCTCGGTCTTTCCGGCTTTATCTACTCAAAGCGATCTGACATTAACGATCAGCTTGCTTGTCTGCGCTCTCTGCGGCTCGGCCCGCGAGCAGGGCGTCGATGATGGCCTGCAACACATGACAGCGGTCAGAGAAGTGGATCAACTTGATACAAACGAATGGAGACTCACATTCAAGCGCTTGATCTCTGTCGCTTGCGTTCGCACCACCTCGTCTTGCTCCTTCGCCTTGTCTTGCTTCGCTGTGTCCCTCGGAGCTCTCGCAATGTTTTTTCCTGCCTCGCAAATCCAGTGATGGGCGCCGATAAGCTCCTTTTCTAGCTCAGACGGCAAGACATCCAGTCCAGACACCTTCATGATGACGTCTCTATTGTGCTCGAGTGCGGCGCGCCAACTCTCTTGAGCTGGGCTGCTCATCCTGGAAGATACTGAGTAAGTGGCTACGGAAAGAAGAAGGGAAGCGAGTGCTTTAAGATTGAACGCTGGAGACATTTGTAGCCCGAGAAAGACAGGCAACAATGCTCACCTGATTGAGAGGCTCTGATACGACACGCAAGTGCGACAGTAGACAGGTGAGGGAGGTGTGGAGCGTGTGAAGCGAGCATTGCACGCGCTACTGCCGTGATGGAAAAAACAGCGGTGCGAGCCTGCGCACTCTTCTGCTCAGCATGATGCACGCGCCCTTACACTCGTGACTGTTGCGCGCTCGGCTGAGCCCTGTCCTCAAATTTGATTCACGTGATTGTTTGAGTGAGAGTCGTGAGTCTTGAGTCCGTGCGTGGCGTTGCGCGCGAGACAGGCCTCACCGCCAGTCACGCGTGTCGTGAGTCTGACCCCGTATGCTGATCAGAGTTGATTCACTTTTGCGAACACTTGTGTGACTCGTAATCACTAACAACCTCGAATAAGCCTGATGGGCCGATCGCACTTTGACAGTCTCTACACCACACCGCTTCGACTCTGAACATCGTGTACACTGTCCGAGTATTCTCACCTCTAGTTTGCCTTTTCCACGTCAACATGGGCCACAAGTCTAAGCGCAAATGGGATCCGGCCTTTGCCGATCACGAGCAAGATCTACAGGAGGCAGCACCTCAGCTGTCAAGCGCCATGGTCAGCAAGCTGACCAGCAGCAACAACAGAGTGCGCTCAGCTTACTATGCTATCCAAAGGAGCTCGGCGGACAAGCAAGCAAGCCTTGAGGCCCAGCTTGAGCAGCAGAAGTTGGAGAACGAGAAGCTTCGCAAAAAGCTTCGCAAGAAGCTGGGTCTGGACGGCGGTGGAAGCAATGCTAGTGCTGAGATCTCGAGCGAGGTGGGTCTTGTGAGTGTCCTGGATGGCATATCGCGGGCATCGCACATGTAGTCGAGCTTAGTATCAAGAAAGCTGACGCTCTCGTTTGCAAGAGCATGCAGGAACCTCAGCAGCAGGTGCTTCTCTGGGAATGGGCATGGAGGTGATAGGCGAGGTCCACAATGCGAGCAACGTATCGACAGGCGAGGTTCAGTCCGATACGAGCAACGTACTTGAGATGCTCTCGTCGACGTCCGAGCCGGCTTCAGCACATCATGCAGACAAGCAACGCAAGGAGAACATCGATCAGAGCGAGGTGCTCTCGCACGCGAGTGACAGTGATGTGTCAGCGAACCAATGGCAAGACGTCAAGGAAGAGCTTGACGAGCTCCAAGACGACGTCATGGAAGAGATTGACGAGCTTCAAGACGAGAGTCTAGACGGCAAGAAAGACGTTGACGAGCTCCAAGACGAGAGCTAAGAATCGAACAAGGAGTTACAGTTCGCCATCTGGTCTACAAGCGCCAACCTCTCCTTTCTCTCCTCAAGATACACGTGGGAAGCAGGCTTTGCGCCAACGTACGCTCGTCTAAGCTATCTGGTCTTCAAGCGTCAACTTCTCTTTTCTCCTCAAGACACACGTGGAGAGCAAGCTTTGCGCCGGCGTACTGTTCATCATAGCAAACAAGCAATCTCATATATTGGCTAGCGTTCATTTGATCGGCTGTGATGGGTTGAACACCAGCAACAATGCCACGCACCGAGGTAACGGATACCAAGACGCCAAAATGGACCTCTGTAGTATCTATGGCTGACCGCGCGAGGAGGAGGGCTAACTATCTGAGCCAAAAAGACACGCAAGAGGAGCGAGTCATGCTCAGAGATCGTACAATTCCTACTTGCTCGGTCACAGGCAGTCACATCTGTGCGCATCACACAGACCTCCAAGAAGTGCATTTCTAGGAGCCGGTCTCCTTGCGCGTACGGCGCGATTGAGGAGCTTTGCAGGAGGGGAAGCTCTAGCGACATTCGTGAACGGCGGCACGGCGGCAGAGCAGACGGTGGACACATCAGCCGCGTTGTTACCCAAACAGCAAGCGCCTTGATGCTTAGCTCTCACCATTTCTCCATTCTCTCTGTTGATCACGAGCTGCTTCTCCGCTCCCTTCACTTTGCTCTTCCTAACTCGTTCATACTCGCCGTGCGCAGCTTTCAGCCCCAGCTCAAGACGCTTCTTCTGCCCAGGGGTGAGCACCTGCCCCGCCTTCAGCTCGCCAATGATGATCTTGAGGTCCCTGAAGCCCCCATTACGACTGATGGAGCGCTCTACGTCCTCTTCTTCCTCCTTCAACTCGTCCTTCTCTGAGTCAGACTCGTCATTGGCGCCAGTCAGCACGCTGGTGTTGGCTATGTTTGACGGCGAACTGCTCTGACGAGGCTCCTTGACGGCTTCGTCGGCCGAGCTCATATGAGCTCTCTTAGTGACGGGGGTCATCTTGAAGCATTTGACTAGTAAGCCGATCAGTAATGCGGACCGAATTTGCGGAGGCCGACGTGGTAGAGCCAGTGTGAGTGCCAGTGTGTGTGCCAGTGCGTGTGAGGCGTAGTGAGAGAGGATGTTCTCGGAGCAGGACTGCTTGGAGAGACGGAGCTTGGAGTTGCGCGGAGTGATCATTCGATGCGGCATGTCAGTTGCGCAAGGGTCTGACGTTGCGGCTTGCTTCTTTCAAATTGGCCGAGACCGCCTGATTAGCTAGTGGATCAAAGCGATCACGTGGATCTCGTGTCGTGAATTGACCTTCTTGGTCTTTCGAATCGATGACCATCCACCCAAGTGGTGAGCACTCCCGAACTTGTCCTGCCTCGATGCACGCGCTTTGGCTGGCACACCCACGTGTTGCTCTGTGCCTGCAGATATGCGGAAGAGCGGTGTGTGACTCACCGTCTTGGCGGTTCGCCTGTCTTGCCTCTTGTATGCCGCTTTGTCCCGCTCCGTCTCTGTCTTGATGCCTCGCCTTGCCACTTGCACTTCGGTGATTGACTTCAGGCATCTGCCCCGTCTTCTACTCAGACCCAGCTCGGCATGCAAGCGGCGCGCTCGCGCCGTTGTTGCCTTGCGAAGGGCTCTAGTTCTCTCGCAGGAGGCCGGGTACGTGACTAATTCCGCGGCTGACATGATGCGCACAACCCTTGCCCGCTCAAAATGACCCGCTCAAAATGATAGAACAGTCAGCGTGAAAAAGCCATACGATGAGGTGAACACGATTGCGTTAGCACAAGCCAGCTGCAGGCCCGCGTGGCATGTCACAGCTTCGCTTCCTGACTTGCGCCCTGGCGCGGCATTCGTGATTGACATGAATATGCTAGTTCCGCCGGAGAGCACCGAAAGCGATGATATGAGAGGTTGAAGTCGAGAGCTATCTACCATTTCAGTCATGCCTTATAGAAAAAGAGGCCTTCTGTAAAAGCCGCAATCTCTGCAGCGAGGCAATGCTCGGTGTCCTCAGACACGATATGAATACTTCGCACCCTTGCTTTCTTCTCTTGATCTTGTGAAGAGTGTCCGGACGTAGCGGTACCGTCCCCGCCTCGAAGATGACATTGTCTCGCTCTGGCGCCTTCGTGCAGCTTTCTCCACTGTCATGGAGCAACGCTGGGCAATCTCGCGTCAACTCGTTCCGAGAATGTCTTCACCACAAACGCTCTCTGATGCCGAAGCGGGCAGCTATCCGCATCAAACCTCATGCAAAGAGAATTCGGTCGATGATACGGACGCCCTCTGCTTTGCATCTTGATCAGCGTGCCGCTTTAGCGAGCCGAGCTGGCGGTTTGGGGGCGCTGGGCTTCCGCATTCGGCTCGTCGCAATAGTTGGATCAAAGAGGTTAAAGAAATTCTGTCTTACGACGAACCTCTTCCGAGGCCATTTGCATCGTTCAAGAGCGTAGCATCTCTCGGTGCGTCTCTTTGAGGTTCTGCCCCAAGCGCAGCGTGGCCTAAAGCTTCTCTTTGAAGTTTTTCACCTCGAGAGGACCCGCATTCGAGGTATTCGTAAAGTTCTGCCTCATGTCTGCCACAACCCCCGCCTCCAACGCCAGCTTCGTGTAGCCCAAACGCTGCAAAGTCCGAAAAGTCGAGGGGATCAGCCTTAGAGTCTTTACCCTGGGTGATTGCTGCGGCTCGAAATATGCCGTTCCGTGTTTCCTTGCATCGAGAGTGCACATTGGGCAGCCTGGCGCAACCTTCTGCACTGATTGTAGACCCGCTACTCTGTTTGGGATCCAACCAAAGATCTTGTTGAGACGTGATGTGATGCGAGACCTGCATCGGAGACTTCTGCTAAAATGCATGCTGCCGAGCGGAAATTGGATCTCTCGTTTGTAGCTGCAAGTCATTGCGCTTGCCGAGTGACGGGAACATGTTCACTGCAGGCTCGCAAGCCGATGTGAAAGACCATTCGTCGTAGCAAATTCGCGCAGCGTTGCGCATTCCTGGGGAGGTTGGTCGGCTGACCAACTACCCTGGCCGGAAAACTTGCTACTCACTTGCCCTCACATCGCTCCTGGTCGACGTTCCGCAAGATTCACTGTGCTAGAGGATACATCAGCTAGACCCTCATCCTCGGGCAAACGACTTTGTCTGGCCAGTTGCATTGCTTCGCTCTGACGAAGCATGCGAGCTGCATGTAGGATCCCCCTTTCCCTGCATCGCTGCGCTTGATCAAAGAACGAAAGTTGAGTGAAGAGACGACCAAGCGATCGAATTGCAGACCTCCCCTACGATTTGCAGTCAGCACAGCTCGAGAGATCGGATCACCTGCCATAACAATGATTACATCAGCATTGCGTTGATCTCCATCTCTATGTGCGTCGGACGTGATGACGGAGGCGTTCTAGGCTAGTCGAGCGAGGGCTTCTTGCTGTTCGTACTTTCGCTCTGCTTGCGCTCCGCATGATCCTAAGAAAGGGAAGCGCTGGGTTCAGCTAGGACTTTTGCATACTCAGGCAAACTGCACCTACTTTGAATGCGCTCATGATCTCTTCAAAAGGTACATCAGCTACCTTCTTAGCATCATGGAGTTCCTGCCAAGAAAGTCGCGCATGGACGTCAGAGTCATCACAGTCATCGGCGAGCAAAGGCAGCTTACCAGAAGAACTTTGGACACACGTTGAATCTGTAGTGTGACAGGACCGGCGTCTTCTTGGGGGGGTGACCTCGACCTCCAGAAACTGACCCAGATAGCGCATGAGCACGTACTGTGACAGAGAGATCAGGATCGATCATCAATGGGTCGTTTCAAGTCGCTATCTTTCGACGTGCGAGGCCGACCGCAAGTAGAACGCAGCTGGCCAGCGCCGGTGCGCATTTAAGTGCCATCTCCACTCCTTGCGTAGGCTATTTTGCGCACGATGGACTCACAAGATCGTTGAAGTCGGTGAAACTCTTGCTACCCTCGGGCAAGGGTTTACTGTCGGCTTGCAAGCTTCCGATCTTGTTTGCTTGCGCAGCGATAGTGCCTTTGAGGCTAGCAATCTCGTGCGCATGCTGGGCGTTCATTTTGGCGGCCCATGCTTTGTGTGCTTTGGTGCTCGCGGCTAGCTCCGCTCGAAGGGCCTCGAACTCCTTTTTGAGAGTCTCGAATTTGGAAGAGAGGGCGACGTTTGAGGCAACTTCTTCCTGGTATACAGAGCGTAGCTGAGTTTCGAGCTGGCCCAGCTCTTTTTTGTCGTCGAGCGTGATGAGACGTTTGGTTCGAATGCTCTTGACTCGATCCTTGAACGAGGACCACGTTTCCTCCCACTTCTTTCTGACGATCTTACTCATGGTAGGATCGGGCTACGAATCAGCGTGATGGGACTTGATCACAGCCCGTGACGGCTGCGATGGCTCAATTGACGACCCGTTCGGTGAGTAAAGAGTAGGAGCACCGCCGCGCTGAAGTTGAAAAGACGGGCGGATGAGCAAGAGGCACCGCGTGTTGAAGTGCGGCACGTGCACTAGGGCGTGCGGGCAGGCTCGACCAATGCCTGGGCGGGAGGCATACGACCTGGCTTGAAGAAAGATGAGGTGTGCTTTGCGGCCAAAGTGTTGGTCGTTCGCTTGCTTGACCAAAGTCTTTGAGTGTCGAGTAGCAGCAGGGGGTGAGACAGGCATGAGCTGCTTTTGGCTGGTGCCACACCGTTTGGCCGTGCGAGTCGGAACATTGATGAGGCTAACCACCGCATGCCTGATTCACCCACTGCTCCAAAGGCTTGCTGATCGCGGGGCGAATCAAGAATGGCTACCTGAAGGCTCATATTATCACGTGTCACGCACGCGTTATCGTACACGTGACCGTCTGAGAGACGTACGTGACCGTCTGAGAGACAAACGCGTGACTCGAGACTTTTGACCGTCTTCATCGTCACACCGTTGGGAGATTCTTGGGATAAATCTATCTCGTTTGGATCAAGAATCGTGTTGTCTGCGTGATGTGGATGTAAAGTAGAGGCAATGCGGCGCTCGCTCGCAAAATACGAGCGCGGCCTTTGCGCTTGCGAAGCATCGCCGTCGGAGACGCAAGCGGGCATAGGCTCAGAAGCGCCTCCTCAGCGCTTGGCGCGGCATTATTTGTCGAGAGTGGAAGTAAAGGAGTAAGAATGAAGGGTGTGCGTTCCTGGCAAGCACGAGAGAAAAGACTTGATGAGCGCAAAACGTGAGGTACACATCCAGCGCCGTGCAAAAGTAAGTGACAGCGTATGCGGATGACGAGCAAGGTGAGAAAAAATTGCCAAAACTATAGCATTCCACATCAACCCGGCGGGCCCGAACTCGCGCTGATGAGTGTATACAGCCCAGTTTCACCTGACCCAGTATTGGTTTGGTCGTCACCGCTCCGCCACCTAGACAGGATCTGTATTACGATGGACAGTATGCACGCGGTATATAAATGCATGCGCGTCTCGCACTGCAGGCGCGGTGCATACCTTTCTTTGGATCCTCCGATGGGCAGCCTGTAGCCTCAACCTCTATAGTCAACATCAGTCTGACCATGTGCGGTGCAATGTGAATGCAATCAAGATCGACAGTCACAGTTCTTGCCTGGGAATGCACTCCTCGTGAGCATGTTTTCCTTGGAACGAGAAAGGCCACGAATGCATTCTGCATGCTTTTGAGCCCCGCCAGTACGCGCGCGGCTAAAATTCCACGAAATTGATGGTCCACTGCCGAGCAAGCCTAGTATGTAATGCGTTGGTAGACCTTGACTGAGGCTTTCGTCAACTCGAGTGCTTAGGGTCCTCATGATCCTGAGGCTGTCAAGGACCAGCTGTATGTAGGTCTACAGATCTGCCCGTGGGCAGGAGATGCTTTCGACTGAGAGCTGTCGGGCATTTTCATTCGTGCGGAAACGGAATCACCACTAAATTGCCCGTAGCATAAGTTCGGTCCTCTGCGAAGCCAGATCGTCTTGACTTTGATCTCTCCATATGTACCCCATCACTACGCGCGCTTTGTTGAGTGATTGAGCGAAGCTCGTCGTCTTCCTCATGCCGACTCTGCTCGTGTCCTCCTCTCCGACGTCCGCCCCTAGAGCTCTCAGACGATTGCTGTGAAAAAAAAAAAAACACCAAAAAAAAATAAAATAAAATTAAATAAAAGAAAGAAAGATGCTGGTGGTCTTGAGGCACCTTCTCAATCATTGAGTGAACACTTATTCTTTGCGGAGAGACGATTGAGAATCGAAGAAAGTGCGTGCAAACAGCCGTGAATGTTGAGTGTCACATCTGATAACAAGGCATGAATTACTCTTCTCGTGCGTGTAGGAAGAAGATGATCAGCAGAGACCTCAGCGGCTGTAGGAACTATAGCTGATGTGCCACATGCACGATTCTTGAATCCCTGCAGCCGCCGGTGTTTCAGAAGTACCGAAATGTCTTCCGTCTCCTGCTTTTGTGTACTCACGACTGAAAGTGACACACCGCTCAAGACTGATCCTGTGCCGCTGCTGGGATTGTGAGGGGGCGCTTTCCGCGCAGCCGCCGGCGTTTAAAAGTCGCCGAAAGGTCGGCCATCCGCGGCGCGCGCGCCGGCATCGTGTACTTGCGAGCACAATGATGCGCAGACCCATTTGTGGAGATTGAGGCGGATTGCATTATATAAGATGCCAAATCGGCGATCCTGGCTGTGTCGATGCGGATCGTCACGGGAAGCCAGGGTCGACGCGAAGCGGCTCGTGCGCGGAGAAGTCACTTCAATTTGATCTGCTTAGGTGAGACCCTGAGCCCGCCGCCACTCGGAGGAACGCCCGATGGCGCCGCCAAAACACCTCAGTCAGCCGCACGTCAGAAATGCAATCATATATCGGGAGCCATTCCTACCGAGACCTGCTGCCACTCAATTGCTCCTTGGAACAAACCACATCGTTTCCAACACTCAAGCAGTGCCGGAGCAAGCAACGACGAACTCACAAGCCAAGGGGGGAGTGATTCACTTCAGGAGTGAGATTAGTAAAGTCCAAGTTGGCCCATGCATGGTCGCCTACTAATTTCTTCCAAGATGGTGTTGGGTAAAATGAATCACGTGAAGGGTTCAGTGTGCGCGCTAGTCTGTTGGCTCTGACAAGGACCACGCGTCGCTCCGTCTCTGCCTGTTGGTACAACTTTATGGACCTGAAGAGTTGTGAGCCAGCAATCTGTTTCAATCGAGGGCTGAAGGCTGACAAACGTGACGTGGGGAGCCTGGCGCCTCCATCGATCTTCCTGGATTGCTAATTCGCGTGTGATCAAACAGCTTGCAACGGTCCCAAAAAGCTCAGCAGCTCATCACTGACACAGCGATGAATCTCAATCATGTACAAATCCGGTTGGTAATTGACTATGATTGCTCAGGCGTGCCCAGACCGCGCCGCGACTTCCACCCTTGCTTGCTCTCACCTGAATACCGATCACGAAACACTGAATTTGAGTCTAAGTCAAAAGTGTGTATTCAAGTCTTCAGTGCTTGATAGATTTCTACTTATCTGAATTAAATCCTGCCAGCGCGTCTCGCTTTGACCAAGTCACGCGGAGCTCTGATGAGGCTGAGGCGCGCGGGCCTCACGTGAGCATACGCGTAGGTCACGTATCAGCGGAGCTCTTGAGCTAAGCAGCTCGCCTCCATTCTTGATTCCGCGCTAAAGCAATGCGCATTCCAACGTCTGATGCCAGGGCAGCACAGGTCGGCACGCGCGCATCAGAGCGAACATCGTTGGGAACCACAATGCCCGTGGCTGTGCGCCCTCTTTCGCCAGCGTCAACTGGATGCGCCAGCAAGCGCGACGAGTCTCCCACCCACATCATCAGCTCATCTCCAACCTCGCTCGATACATTCGTCTCGCTCACGAAAGCCTACACTTTCATCCTCACTCTCCACGTACCTGAACCAAGTCTCACTCATTGGTCGAACCTCTGCCTGCAGTCACTCCTCCGTACCCTTTTAAATCTCTTCTCACGCCTCGCGAAAGCCATGCCGCACGGACAAAAGCGCAAGTGGGACTCGGTTCTGGACGAGCACGTTGAGAACGTGAAGTCTGCGGCCGATAGTCGCTTGCTACCCACCTCTCTGGCCAAAAAGCTCGTCAAGGACAGCGTCGAACTTCGCAAAGGATTTTATGCGCTTCAGATGTCCCACAAAGATGAGATGAGCAACGCGGTCCTGGCCAAGGACCAGACGATCGAGGCCAAGAACCTGGAGATATACGCCAAGGATGATATTATCAAGGCGAAACAGAGCATGGTCTGCCAGCAAGCGGCGGAGATCCAGCGCTTGAAGGTGAATGGACCACTCTTGCCTAAGCTAGCTCGCTGAAAGCCTAGCTCACCTCGCCCGCTCTCTCTCGTCTCCTACTAGGCTCACATCGCTTCCCTCGAGGCTGACGCAGGGGCCAATGGTCACGATCAGTCTGCAATCAAGGAGGAGGAGGAGGAGGATGAGGAGAAGGAGAAGGAGGAGGAGGAGAAGGATGAAAAGAAGGAGAAGGAGGAGGAGGAGGAGGTAGGTGAGCGTGCCAGCGAAAACGGCGGTAGCGAGGGCGAGCCTGTGTCGAGACTTTGAGTGAGTAGAGCGCTTGCGAGCTACCTTGCGCATCGGCATCATGCTCAGCCCTTCCATCTGCGTTCATAGTCTACATCCACCAGTGGAACGACGCGGGAGTGCCTAACTCTCCTTGCACTACCGGACTGATTTGCAGCACCTCTTTTTCTGTGGTCTCTTCATCAAATTCAAGCAATGTTATGTATCGGATAGCGACTGAATATGCCGCGAGAGCCAGCTCAGCCCGCCCGTGCTCAGATGCGCGTGGGCTGGCACGAGACCAGCTGATATTGAATGCGCCGCGCGCACGACAGGTGACCAAGAGCATCAAGCCCCTTCATCGCGAGTTGTACAGGTTGAACCGGCCGAGAGCATCAGTCAGGAGTCTCGGAGTACGGCGACAGTGACGAATGCCAGGCTTGTCGTGTAAAGGATGTGAGATCACCAAATCATGAGGTACACGCATGCACATTCGTGATTCACATTGCAGCCAGCCAACACCCAACGATTCTCTCACTTTGACCCTCGTGACCATTTACCATCTCAAACACACCTAGCGCACAGTGTCAAAATGCCTTCCAACCGTGACCTTCGATACCTAGAGCTCATGGTAGAGGCCGTGCAGGCTATTATTGACGATCAAAATCGCGCTGCAAGAGAGCTTATCTTTGCCTTTGGATTTCGCCAGTCAGTCATCGACATGTTGACACACAAGGGCACTCAAAATGATGAGCAGGCGGTGGGGCCAATCCTCGCCATCACTGAGAGCCTGGTGAGTACGGCAATGCGCAGGATACGAAGAAGAGTGCGAGCTGCTCATGTTGCGCCCCGCTTCTCAGATTCTGGCGGCAGAAGAAACTCTGACTTGTCTCTACATGATCGGGACTACACGCGATTTTCAAGTCCAAGGCTCTACAATCGAGGCTCAAAACGAGTACATCGAAGTGTTAAGAGGCTTGCTCTTGACTGTAAGTCGAGAGTAAGGAGACACAGGTGCGTCCTCATGCTGCTCCTGTAGAAGCTCTAAATGACTTCTGTGCTGAGGATGCTTGCGCTTGGAAATTCGCGGCGACCCTGCTCCTAGGCGCTGTTTATCTCAGAGCGTCTGAATGAATTCGTCGCCGATGCAGCTCAAAACTGGCACTATCAACCGTCGAGCCACCACAGACGGAGCAATGCTCGACGGAGCGTGCACAAGAGCAATCATGACCCTTTCCCTTCGCTGCCCCGCAGCCACTCTACCAATGGCTGTCTCACATCAACGCCTGACTGCACCAACGTCGCGGAGGCCTAAATGGGTAGGATTGGGAACAGCACTCGTCGGATCGCATGAACGAGTGGATGTCGGACCTGCTGGTACAGCTGCCAGCCCTGTCCTTCATGCAAAGGGTGAGAACATAGCATACACGCATGGCATGATCTTACCTCGTCGCTCCTCACTTCGATGCTGACCAGCATTGCTGCCTGCCGTTCTCAATCGCAGCAAGCCTACGGACTCGCTCGACCTAGCTGTGCAACGAGACAGTGCAGTGCCAAACGACGCATTCAGAGAGAACTAGCACCAAGGCCAGCTAGTGCAGCTGGCCTCGCTTGGCGCTTGCGTCTCCCAAGGTCCGGCTCCGACAACCCTTCTCGTACATCAAAATTGATTGGTTCCCTCTTACTCGAAGCCTGACCTCTGCGATTTGAACTCTCGTTGTGCGTTAGCATTGAAGGTAGTAGGCCGATGTGTAAGCATGAAAGTCATCCGTCAATGTTAGACCCAAGCGCTCCGTTGATGACAGCCTCGGTTTCAGCAGCTGACGTCCGCGGTCAAAGGTCCACCGCTTGCAAAACCCAGCCAGCTGCAGTGAACGCCAAGTATCGCCCAGCCCAGCCGCCGCGAGTCAGCGTCTTCTTGGTGCTGCGCAATTGCTCAACGGAGGAGGTACAGGTGATGCGAAAAAGGGAAGCCGTGCCGAGCCCCCACTGTCATGCAGAAGCAGCTACATTCAATGGTGCCGATCGCCTTGCACTGATCGCTTCCAGGTCAAAAACGCTCATGACGGCAGCCACATCTTGGTCGTTTGCACAGGCTATGCCAGGGTTGCAGGCTTCACAAGGTCTGCGACTTGTCAACCAAACACTGAATCGGTATCACGCCTATCGGTATCACGCCTTCCAGCAGCATCTGCCATTTCGGTATGCGCCGCTCTACGATAGACAAAGCCGGTCTCCAAAAGTCGAGGCATGAGATTGCGCTCCGATCCGCCTTGCATCGTGATGATCGATGCCGGACCAGTCCAACTATACTCTGCGGTGAGACCAAT